ATTAATTGAAGCACTTCACTTAGTCAATTTGAAACCAAAATGGACTTTTTGTTTTTCACAAGTTTCATGTCCCTAGTCATATTAAGTTTGATTCATCATATAATTTTAAAGTTTTCCTTGTAATCTTCTATCGAAATGTAATGACCTTTTGCCCACTTCTTATTTTTGATCACATCACTGTGCACCAGATTGGGTGAAAAGTAATACTAATCAATAATATCTGTCACCCCACCCCCCACCCAATTGGAAAAACACTCAGCCAGCTCAGAGGCCCTCTCGACACCAATGTCCCTACTCAGAAATATGTCACACTACAAATTTTAAGATGATTGTCTAATTGCCCATGGCTCAAACTGTCCAAACACTCTACTACCCCATAGTAAGAAAGGCACAGCCAACAGCGTGATTTATACACAACCTCAGCTTAAGAACATACACGCCTAGGACTGTGACCTCGTTACCATAGTAACAGCTCCCATGATGGTAAAAATTCACTTACTGCTGGTTTTAAAGATAGATGTCAGCAATATGATAATGTTATCCTGATCAAATATGTTATCATGAGAATACGCTTTTCTGAGCATGTTGAGGATATCGTGTTTACTCACGTAGAAAACTGACCATCTGTACTGTTTCAGTCCAATAAAGAGTGTAATTAGTTCAGTTTAACTGAAGTGCAGTACAGTACAGCTTGCAAACCAAGAGTTTTTAATAGCTGTTTTTAAACATGGCACTACTAATGAGTTGTGTCTGTATGTCAGAATATTGTGATTTTAATTTTTTGGCTGATTCCAATTTTTTTACTTCAAATTGGCTGATGGCCTTTTTTTATTTCATTTTTTCTTTTTATTAGCCTTTTTTTCCAAATCTAAAGCTCACACTTTAAATAAACACATTAAACACACATTTCCAGGATTTTCTATTAGCCATAACATTGTTTGCTCTCAAATGGGCCAAACTGGCATTGTTAAAAATTTCAATTTTAAATCATATGTCTATTTAAATAACATGAATCAAATAAATTGCTGCATCAAAAAAAACTGTTTAGTACAATAAGTCATGCATTCCCCTTAGTTATTTTGAGACAAGCCTAACTCTGAAACAAACATGATAATAAAATGATAACGTGTTATCTTTGTAGAATAAAATGTGAAGCAAAGAGGAAAGAACTAACTTAGCTTAACCTGTACAGGCCAAATATCGCCAGCCCTTCATTTGATACAGAATCTGATTCTTACTTATTTCCTGAAATAGGATCCAACACTTTCCGCTGGTATATGTCTCGTGCTCATACTGGACATTGGATCAGTGCCATCCTTTGTGTAATAAACTATAATAAAATAAAGTTAAGACCTGAGTATTAAAGATTGGAAAGTCTGTCATTTTGACATAGCTTAAGAAATTACATCACAGTTCACCACTTTTAGTTAAAGCTTCAAGCTCGTCATCATATGGGTCATATTAGGCCTGTGAAGTCTTCTTAACTGGCCTGCGGCACAAGAGTTGCTTTCAGAATAGCACAAGTTACACAGAGCCAAAACTGCTGCAGACCAATTCCACTTCTTTGTTGTTACCTGATAGTTTGTACTGAGATTAGGTTACTAATTGACCATCTGTAGATAAATGCTGGGACGTCTGTGCTTTCAGTCTAAGTTTTTAGAATCTGGTCATAAGATCCTTTAGACGGAAACATTCATTTAAACGGCGGCCTCTGGCTATGAGGCCATTCAATTATCCCGGCTATTATAATTGTGGAACTCGTTCCAACTCAGGCTTGTGACTGTAATCTTTCACGTGATGAGTCATGGCCCATCTCTGTAGCCTGACTACAGAGAATGAAGAAAGAAAAGGGGATTTTAGAAGTCATAATCTCTCTCTGTAGTCAGGCTACCCAGCCAGCAGGCTGGGGAACATTAAAACAAGGGAATTACAGCTGCAGGGAGATTTAGGAAGAATATGCCTCACTTTTCAACTTCACAGTGAGCTGAGCTGTAAGCTATTAATATGTTGTCTTGTGACTGTTGCTTATGGACAACTGTGAACTATTAGATATGTGTCTGTGGCACAATTTGTTCTTTGTTTATTATATACTGCTTTCATATTGAAAAAAACTTGTAACTCCCTTGTTTTTATTACTGTGTGTCCTTTACGTTGTGTGAACTTTGACGAATGAAACAGCAGAAATGTTTCTAAACTGTTGAGACTGAAGTCTTGTTACATTAATGTCTGTAAGTTATGTTTTTTTTGTATTTCCCCTATAAGGACACTGTTTCATGAGGTTTTATGGCTATGCATTTCAAAATGTAACTGCTTTGTAAATATAGTAATCTCTGGTTATCTTTTTTTATGGCCTTGAAAACATTTGTTGAATGGAGACTTGAGTCTCTGAAGGGCATATATAAGTGGTAATGTAGCTTGTTTACTCTTTTTAATGACTGTTTACGTGAGTCCTGAATGACAGAGCAGAACGCTGGCTGATTTACAGTGAGAGCTCTTTCACTGTGGTTAGAGGGTGGAGTGGCGTCTAATTTCACTCCATTGAAGTAACAGCTTGACAAAAATGCTACTGGATGAATGAAATATTCAGTAATGAATGAAAGCAAATTTTTCAAAATGTCCACATAATTCAATCATTGAGATGTAAACAAAATCATTTAAAATGGTTTGATATGAAAAAAATACATTGTAGAGATTCGTACAAACTGTGGTGATGGGAACCAGGAATCGCAATGTTTACAATGAAAATATAGCCATTTTATTTATTATCCAAAATGACAAGTGAACCTACACGTGTCTTGAGTTTTTATATGTAATGTTCATAATGGTAAAATATAGTTAAACCTAAAAGAAATACATTTTCTTTGAGAACTGCTTTGCCTAACAATGCCTTGCATTTACCTCTCCACCATGACTGGATTTTTAGGCCCAAAAAATTACCACAAAACTATCATCAAACAGTGTCTAGTATCAAGAAATTTACCTGTAACTGTTTCATGTAATAACTTCCAGTGAGGAAGCTTTTAGAGGCATTAAACTCTTCGGATGTCTGCTCCGTATCACCACCACCTGTGGACATTTATCACTTGGAAAGTTTCTTTATAACGAAGCATTTCACATTAAACACCTCTAAATGATTTAATTCACAACCATTGAATCATCCAGAAATTTTTAAAAATTCCCTTATAAGAGTTGCTGACTGGAACAGGCTGTTTGGGAGTCTGGGAACCAGTCATATTTGAACTGAGCTCCAGCAGGGGGCGATATGGAGTCAGTGCTGTCGGTGCGCAGGGTTTCTACCTTGATCTCACTCTCTCAGATGTGTGTCAGAATAAAAATCAATAACGGGGTCAGTCAGCTTTGGGCCTCTTTTGTGCCTTTAGATTCTGAATGGCTTAAATTGCCAGGCAGCGCTGTCTTTAGTCTGCGGTAGGAACAGGTAGATTTCCTTCACCTTACAATAAGAACACAAAAAGAATCAGTTTTCAACAATCATTTTGCTGCCTTCAGCATCTTGCTGCAGATATGCAGCCTTTCCAATTGGGAGATGTTTTGGGAATATTTTTAAAGTGGTTTTAAAATGAGCCTTAGCCCACACGTCTCGTTGTGATGTCAACACTCATCAGCAGTGAAACCATAGATGTGTTTAAACCACTTTGTTAAAAAAAAGCTTAAATATGTGCTGTTAACAGTAGTTTGGAAAAGAAAACAATCAAATGATAATTTAGCCAAAACCTGCTCTTTGTACCGAAGAAGTCACTTGATAAAGCTTCTACACAAGTATTAAGAAGCATTTTATTTTAAGAAAACCTTTTGAAGATTTTTCTTTTGTTACTTAACTGAAAACGTAACAATGGAAAATTGAAATTTCAAATGAAGGTAGCTTGGATAGTGTATGTAAGACTCAAGTATCTCAGACCTTTGAGTGTCAGGACTGTATCCGGATAGAGAGATAGAGAGATGCGCCAAAGACACCTTTAAAACAGATTTGAATACAAACCTAAATCTGCCCAGACCAGCTAACGTAACTGAGCTAGCAAGAACACCAGTTTGTCTGTTCATTTGGTCAGCCTTCCACACCAGCATACACATCCATCAGTAAAGTGAACAAGGCCAGTCCCTTCTTAAATATATTGTCATATAAAATATTATATATATATATATATATATATATATATATATATATATATAATTTTTTATGTTTCTGTCTTGTTTTTTGTTTAGATGCAAATCACCTCATTGGCCTGGCTTGTAACTCACTCACTCATGTTTAACAACATTGTCCACAAGGGGGAACTACTGGCACTGTAGTAACTAGAGTGAAAATAACCTTATGTTAACTGAAAGGGCTGAGAATACTGAGCATTGTGAGCATTATAGGACTTTAGGGTACTAGATTCTGGTGCTTTGCTTAAATTACACTTTGTGTCCTTGTTTCATTCAGACGTTGTTGGATGCTTAATAAAACGCTCAATTTCAGTATCACACATTTTTAATAATTTACGGTCCCTGGACCTTTTACAGAGGCATGGCTGCTCACTCAGTTCAGCTCTTGATGGGAGTTTCTACCCTGAGTATAATTCAGTAGCCTTCAGCGACCAGAGATGTGAGTTGTGCCGGATGCTAAATGCTAAACGTTTGCTAAGTTTTAAAGCACATGGTCCATGACCAGCCACCTTCTTCTAAACATCACTGTAATGCTGGTGTAAATAAATGAATTACATCATGCAAAATTATGGTTTTTGAGGTGGCAGCCATCTTTTGAATAGAATGGGACAAACGAGGAACAACACAGGCAGTGGTTTCTTGTCTAGGAGCTGATTTGCATATTACTCCCATACAGGAATCGGTTTTAAATCTGACTAGCTATACACATTTACTATTTTTAAATGCATGTGGTTGTCGGTTGGCAATCGAAGTTAAAAAGTCTCATGAAGACCAGATGAAAACAGGGTCTCAGAATCATGTCTTGTAAGCAACTTTGTGCCTGTTTGTGTTCTCAGGGCGCCACACAGCTAAATGGAGTCGGAGCAGCTGTTTAACAGAGGCTACTGCAGGAATAGTTATAACAGCATCACCAGCGCCAGCAGTGACGAAGAGCTGCTCGATGGCGCCGGCGTCATCATGGACTTTCACACCACTGAGGACGACAATCTGCTCGACGGGGACGCTTCCCCAGGTAGGACCCTGACGCACCTGTCTGAACTTGACAGCTTCTCAACCATGCAGCCATCTGTCTGTCTGTTTATCTGTCTAGTAGGGTGGCAAATATGTCATTTGTTAGTGATCACAGTATTGACCTTTGCAACAGTGATGCCAAGGCTTCACTATACAAATATCTGTAATACTCTTGTTAGATACCCTGTAAAACTCTTTGTTAGGTTGACCTCATCGTTGCCACTGTGTATTAGACCAATGAGTGTACCAGTGGTGTGGACCTAAAAAAAAAAAGGTGGATATACTTTAAATCTTGGCCAGCTCGGCATGTTTTGTTTGATATTCTGTGTTTAGCAAATTGACGTTCAGTTACTGTATTCATTGGTATGTTTTTAGATATTTTGATATATATTTTAAAACATACACAGTAGTTTAGTTGCATTATGCATCCAGTTTATGTTACAGAATTAGACTGTGCTTTCTTGCACTAACATTAGTTTGGATTGCTGTGACCGTGAATCTGGTGGGTAGAGACTCTACAGAGCTAGGTGGATGCGTATAAACAGAAAGAAATCAGCCAGTAAAGTATGCAGCGCTCTTATCATCAGAACGGACAGTAATGAAATATGCTCCCTGTTTTAAAACTCAAGGATGTTTTTTCCTCTCACTGACTTTGAAATCCAGCAATAGGGAGCATAAAGTAATCATCTCAGGATCTCTTACATTAAGATAACTTTGGGCTTAGTTTGATCTAACGCTGGATTTTCTGTTTCACTTTTCTGCATCACTTTTATTGGACTACATCACCTTGATAACATACGCTGCATGTTTCATGCAATTGACTGTTTCCTTTGCTTGCACATGAGGATTATTATCATAGTTTGAGTATCTAAACCTGAGTTGACTGTCAAAGTTGTTCATTTCTGTTGTAAAATGAGTTTTATAAAATGGATAGTTTCAGCATTAATATCTGCTTGGCTGAGCCGCATTCAATGCTATTGTAAAATCCACACCAACGACCGCATCACAACAACTGAATTGTGTATTCCTATGCCATGTCATGAAAAACCCTTGTGCTGTTAATGGAATAATCTTTGATTCTCATGCTGCTCGCATGGACCACTGAATATATTGATGGAGTAAGAACCCATGTCTGTTTAAACTGAGGGTCTGAAAACTTATTTTCTTAACTGGAAATAGGTTGGTCAGATAGTTAAAAGGCTAAAGGATAGCATGCTACATGCTGAACAACTCCAATATTAATATCACAGGACTGTATCAAAGTACTTACGATATAATTCACTCTAAAATGGCAATATAAAAGTCTAAAGAATGTCATTTGAATGGGTTTCACATCTCAAATGTCCATGTTTCAGTCAGAAGACCTGGGCTGAATCCTAAACCGCTCCGTACTCCCTAAACAGTGTGCTGTTATGAAATTCTAGCTTCTGCAGTCAAGCAGTGCACTGTATGTCAAATATGAATATGGATGAATCCAACATTTTTCGCAATATTATGCATTGTTGGGGTGGAGAAGTCAGTTTTTATATTCATATGTAGCGCACTATGTGGGGAGCAGGGAGCCATTTGAGATTCAGCCCCAGCATCTGTAGAGGGACACCATTAGATTGGCAGAAGAAGAATCGTGGTGGTAACTTGGTGACCAAAAAGTACTTATTAAGGTTTTTGCATTAAATAGTTAAAATTGTGAAATTGTTTATAGGAGAGAAAGTGCATGTGCCAAGAGTGCGGTGGTTGTTTTGGGAAGATTGGTGTTTATGTATCTAATGGAGTCAGTTAGCTGAAGATTGGGCAATTGAATTTGCAGTGGCTCATCAGACAACAGGCCCCTGTGTCCACCCCCGCTCCGCGTCACTCATACGCACTCTTTACATGAGGGAATTTTTTGTGACACAGAAATGAGGGGTGTGTGTGTGTGTGTGTGCGCGTGTGCGTGTGTGCGTGTGTGCGTGTGTGTGCAAACAATAGGTGGGTTAATACAATAAGTAGTGATTTTACATTGTTAGCATGCCTCTTTAACCATTTCCAAACCTCTTCTTGTGACAGTCCAGTATTTGTACTTCAGTCACTACTTCATTATGTTAAAACAAGTGTGCTGTTGATGCAGTTTATTAAAACCAGGCATTGTCTGGAGGCGTCAAGGAGAAATCTGGAACGAAAGTTGTGTACTTCTAACCAGCTCAGTAGATATTGTCTAATTTTTGGAAACAAGACATTCTTGTTACTATTTACTGCATTTATTTATTTATTCTAATGTTATACGCTAATGTTTTTTTACTGCCAAAACATGCTTACTGTCCAGATAAATTTAAACATTTTGCACAGCACTGTATATGTATATGTGTACTCTCACCAACAAGATATAAAAACAAATCACCAAAACATTATTCACATTCACTGACCATTAGACTTCACCTGACCCCTAAAGAGCAGATCTGTGTACACTTATTTGAGTGTTAACACTTAGTTATATTTCAAATTCCTGTTTCCAAAAGCCTATTTGGCAGGTGACTGCCTTAGACGAGGTGATGTCATCTGTTCCCAGGTTGTGTGTGGTGACTGTGCATTACTGCTGTAGTTCTATGAAAACTGGCTTCATTTTTGCTCTTCTCCTCATTAAGTTCATAATTCATTAGCGCCTCAATGCTTGTGTAGCAGGCATCCGACAGACCTTTGTTCACGGGATCACAAGCCCAGCCCAGCCTTTGTGCCTGTGTAACGAGGGAGTGTCGTCTTACACTGTCACTCAGCAATCTCTGCCCTATCAGATTGCTTTATTCTCACTGGCTGCCCTGGAGCTGGAAAGTTACTTGCTCAACATGAGCCACTAGTCTAACCCCAGACAGCAACGTTTGTACAAGAGCACTTTGAGGAACAGTGTGGGTCAGTACTGGAGCGGCTGCATGGTGAGGACAGTAAAACAAGGTCACGGGAAAGTTCGGAGTGATGTCATGTACCAGCAGGACCAGGTCGCGTGTAACTGGAGGACATGTGTGTAAAACTGACGTGGCTCTTTGGAGACGACACCTGAAGGAACTCGTTTAACAGCTTTGCTACTTTGGAGTCAGCAGTTCACCAAGTTTGACTCTGCGATATTAGTGTCTGTGTGAGGCAGTGTGTTGTTGTGGGTGTCAGTGTGCTATTTTTATATGTATGAAGGGGGACTCTGCGGTGGTCCCTTACAGGTGTAGAGTTTCCTGAGTGTTTTAAATGGGAGTTTGTGTGGAGTATCATGCCGTCACTTGATCTTGAAGGGAACTAAGCGTGTGGTTCGGTGCCGGATTGAGACGTGGATGCTATCGAAGCAGAACTGATGGATGACATCATCACCTGGTCCAGTACAGTTACCAGGCAACAGGAGGGTTTCAGAGAGAAGTGTTCAAGGTAACTAATGATTTTGGGTGTGTTTCTGTTTGTTGTTCTTGAACTTCTGAAAGGCATAAACATGAGCCACATTCATTTAGCCACATTTATTTGGCCACATTTCTTAAAGGCTCCATATTATGGAAAACAGAGTTTTCCTCATTTAAGTATGAGAGTTTGATTCAAACATTGTTTTTGTTTCAAAACTATTCCTCCTCAGTCCATACAGGCTGTATGTGGAGGCTAAGCTTCAAGTACAGCCTGTTCTCTGTCCACTACTTTTGTGATGTCACCAAAACCAACACATTACCTTAATATCTACTATTAATGTCTTTCTGTTCCAACTACAACAGTTTAGCTCCGCTCATTCACACTGAAGATATAAGCAGTATTTCAGCCCAGACAGCTTTTTGAATGAGGCACAGTGCAAAACAGCCAATCAGAACAGATGCTATTTACATGTTGTTGCTGTCAGGACAAAACCTTGTATCTCCAAATGTTAACTGTACAGTAGAAGGAAAAATGTTCTGAACTTTAAATTCAAGTGCATTTTACACAATGTGAAAGCCAGCTGGCCTTTTCTCACATTAATATTATTTAATTATGTAAAAGAAATATACAACAAAAATAGTGTAGAAATGCATTATGGCTGCTAAAACCACACACATGGTATAATGGGATCTCAGGGGGAAAATGTTCGATATAGGCCCTTTTAAATATTAGCCTTTAGTCTTTTGGACAACTTGATAAAATCGATCATTTCATGCCCTGTGTGGTTGTCATCTGTAGGCTAATGCTGAAATCACAGGTGCTCTTCAAGTCTCTTCTCTTGAATGGATGTCTTTGCTTTTGCTCTTACAGCCTGTGTTTTCCTCCTAGCTAGATTTTAAGATAGTAGTCAAGTTAACAAGGTTATTATTCATTTTTGAACTTTTAGATATCTTTTAGAATTTTAGGTTTGTTCTATGTATGCTGTGCAGAAACATGTATGTAGTACATGTACTTGGGTGCTGCTGTTTTTTGGCAACTTACTACTTAAGAAAGGATGGTAAAATGGTGTAAGACTGGCTTATTTGTTAGATTTGCAGGACATTGGATTTAGAGGCAAGGAGTGTTACTTTGATTTTGCCAAACTGTGCAAATAAGTAATATGACTTCACAGTGAATGTAATGTTTAGTTAAAATTGCACCGGATATAGATCAACACACATTGTAATTTGTCATTATTTGGTTGACATTTGGGAAACTTTAAGTGACTTTTGAGAGCTTATGTTGTAATTACAGATTGACAGTAGAGCTGCACGATTTTTCATTAGTTTTGGCTTAGAATTGAGATCATGACTCTCGCTTACAGTTCTTCCACAAACCAATTTTGTAAAGAATAATCTATATTCAAGAATAATGTTTATATTTATACAGTGTATTATATTCAGAGTGATTTCTGTCCTACTGGGCGACATTTGTAAAGTTGATTGAGTTCTCTTTACTAGCCTAATAAAGTTCGTTTTTGCTGTTTGTTTGTTTGGATCTGTTTATCCAATTTCCAACCTTAATGCTGATGTAAATGTCCTGGTTATGACATTTCGACCTGGTAATATGGTAAATTAAACAGATACTTTATCATATTTGAATCGGCCC